CAATTTTTGTGGTTTTAAAATCTGTGGTGAGTGACTAGAGGTGACCAAGGTTTCACTGATATTTTGGCCAACAAACACTCGCCTGAAAATGTTCTATCTTTTATTATTTTTGCGGTATTGTTTGCATTTTGCACCTGTTACCAGATGCATTTTGTGTGTTATTTTTGGTGAACATGGTCAGGTAAATGGCAGCATCAGAGATTCAGACAGCTTCAGAATGCAATGTCCATGTTTTGATGTTCACTGTACCGCACTGGTTTTTGTTTACATAAAAGATCCAAGTACATATGCTCTGTATTTACAGTAAAGAGACATTCACTTACTGGGAATCAGTTGGACAAAACCTGTTTGTGGTCTAATTATGGTGCACAATTGAACTAAAATTGTGCCACACAGAAACTTAAGGCCCCCCTGTGGTTTTCCACCAAAATAAAAGCTTAAAAGTTTTAATGCTTAAAGACACTAAAACACTTAAATATTTAAGAAATAATTGACAGCGGGCTGTTGAATTATATAAAAATATGGCACGCCTGAGGTGGTAAAGCATCATTTTAGAGCTAGTAACGGAGACGAGAGAAAGAGCGAGAGCATGTGTGAATTACCTCAGTCTGTGCGGATCTCAACAGTGTTCGGCAACTTCAGTGGCGCTGACAACAAATTTCTGACATTACAAGAAATAACAAGTAACAGCACAGTTATTACAATACTAATATTTTTCTGTCTTTAATTTTATTACTAGAGTTAATTAAAATGAATTATAATAAAAACGTATTGTTTTATAATATTATATTTAAATTGCTTAGATTCCTAAAATCAACAGTGTGAGTGTAGTTGTGGCAAAGAAAAATGGCAAAGGCAAAGACACTTTTTCCCACTCTGCTCACTCTGGACACTGAAAAGGACTGAGAACGTTCTTGTAGAGAGTTTATCCAAGTTTGAATACTCGTAAAGTAACTCTTTTTATTGCCATCAATGTGTGGTCTCTTTTCTTTTGCCTGGATGTTTTAGCAGCAGCAATATGAGATGATTTCATATTGAGATTAAATGTTTACGTGGTTCAAATCATTTGCAGTATATGACAAAATAATCACAATACATTTTTTGGCCCAATCATGCAGCCCTAGTGTATCTGTACCCTGAACAATGTAAGAAAACTGTTGCCGAATTCTTGTACCGCTCTCTCTCTGGAGTGTCGTTGACCCTGTCTGTATGAGTTTTTGTGACTCAGAGCTAAAAATATCTGTACCTTTTGTGTTCTTTCTGAATTCATTTCATGCTCTTTAGTTTAATGAGTCAAGTTTCCAGTTACAAGTTGGTCTAACAACAACCTTACCTTACATGAGTCACCAAAACCTAACTGCCTGTCTCTCTCGCCCTCTCTTTCTCTGCTGACTTCAGCCCACAGGCCTCTGAGCGATATAACTGTTGAGTGTGTGTTGAACAGACCCTCCACCCTTTCTTTCTCTCTGTGCCTCCACCTCTCTGTTCCTCTGTTGGAGTGCAGTGATATAGTGTATATAGTACGAGAGTATGACAGTAGATGAAATATCAGCTCATTATATAAGACCAGTAACACATTTTGGGATATTTGTGACAGACAGACTAGCAGTTTGCATAAACATAAACTATCATAATATGAAAAATGACTGTGTTTTCTTATTAAAAACAAAGGTGGGTGCATTTCATATAAAAATGGAATAGAATATTATAGCATATAAAAAGAAAACCGGAAAGGAAGGAGCAGATGGAAATAGCGAGGATATGCTCATAGTTCCATCTAAAGACCTAAGGTCACAGTAACTGAGATCTGTACTAATCTTTGTTTGGTCATTTTACTTTTATAGCCTTTCCTCTTTGCAAACTCTCTACTCTGAAAATATGTTAGAATTTGTATGTTACTGGTTTGGATTTAATCATGAACAGTTACAGTATAAGTGGATTATTACAATAGGGCACAATTTGCAATCTGTGTATTCGATAGTCTTGATTCAAGTCTGCAATTCAGTCAGACCCACCCCTACTTACTGTAAAGACCACACAACCACACAAGGCCAAGTAGTACATTTCTTGACCTTTTGTCAGCTCTTGAATACTGACCTCAATTTCCTTTCAGAGCACAGTTCACACGGTGGTACATAAGAATCGTCACCTGAAGACATTGGCACTGAAGACATAGACACAGATTTTACAGCAGCTATCATCTTCACATGTAATTATTCAGCAGATTTCTTTAGGAACTAAAGAGCATTTTTAGAAATCCTTAGCAACGAACTTAAATCACAAAGCATTTTTGAATTGCTTGGAGTAATCAATAATAAATGTTATTGAAAGGGGCTGCTCTGATCAGTAAGAGAGTACATCACAGACTTGGCAGTGTTATTATCATGCAAATGACAGTATAATATACTAGACATTCTCTTGTAGTCTCTTACAGTATACTTTTGTAGCCTTTATCCATTACATTATAAAAGATGCAGTAGCACTAGTGTCGTCCGCCAGGAAAGCACATGGCTGTCACTTTAAAATCTTACTTAAATGGACTGTGACAGTAGGCGCGTTTCCATTACAGATTTGCGCAAAACTTTGGCGATATTTTATTAATGTCGATAAAAAAGTATTGCGAAATGACGGCGTTTCCATTAACCAATTTGCGATATATGGGCGTTTTTGTGAAATTGACGCGTTTCTATTAGATGTATTTTCAATTCGCAATTTCAGTTTGCGCAATTTGAAGGGTAATGGAAACGCGCCTAGTGTCATGGTTATATTCGTGGACTTCTGTTTATGGAAAATGCGTATTTACAGTATGAATTATTCTGCTCCTATCCTTTATTTGAATTACAGAATAATATGTCAAGTCGTGGTGTATTTCGACAAACAGTTACTCACTGGTGACCTTTAGCAGTGTGGGAATCTGATAGCAGGCCTGTGATCTCACATGGCTTATGAAACTTCAAGTTCAAGCAAGATCAAACTGTGGTGCTTGAGTTATGCACATCTTTTTTAAAAGGCTGTAGAAATGAATCCACACACTTCCAGTGTTGCATAAACTCTGTAGTACTTAATTTGTCAGTTTTTCATTAGATTCCACTGTTTTTATTGCCTGTTTTTGAATATAGAGAACCTGTATAGTACACTGTTTCACAGCAAGAAGCATCTATTTCATTATATTATCCTATGTGGTTCATTGGAGAGTCATGTGGGTGGTCTTTTCATATGAAAATGTACTAAATAGAATAATTGATTATGAGCATTAATCCCATTTTATTCATTAAGTGTTCAACATCACATTTAGTGCCCGTAAACTTCACATTCTTCACTGAAGGCGCAGCATACTGACAGCACAATAGAACAGGAGAGCAATAATTCTGACTTAATATATTTTGATCAGTAATTCTTGTTAGGCAGTAGCCTATTATTTCTTGTTAGACAAATGGTAAGCAAGCATTGCTTATATTCACCAATTTTTGCCCAATGTATTGCATAGTCTACATAGATGCATTCACTATATTTGTTTTCATAGCCTTCAAATTGCATATTGTTTGGAGGACAACACTGGGTAGTATGTAGTGAATAATATTTAGATTTTTATAATAATTGACAGATTAATCAATTATCAAAATAAGTAGTGAATATTGCTTTTTGAGTATTGATGCAGAATTCAGGCAAGGGTGTTAGTATTTGTGAGCCTGGTGGCCTGTTAGTTTTTGAGGTTGATTGAGGTTTAAAGAGAGACTTCCCATAGAAATCCTTTTCAACTCACTGAAATTACAATTCTGTCCTCATTTACTCACTCTCATGTAGTTCCAAACCTGTATGACACTTTTTTTTTTCTGCGGAACACAGAAGATTTAAAAAAAAATGTCTGAAGTGTTTTGTGCATACAGTGAAAGTCAATGGGGTCTAGGCTTGCCGCGATAGATGGTGTTTTCGGTTATACCGGTGTTAAGCCACAACACCGGTTATGTCATTTGCCTACCGCGGCACCACTCCCCACCGTCGTTTTGATTTTTTTATAGTAACAAAAATCATTTAGCCTAGTTCAGTTAGAGGACAGACACTTTTAAAAACTAAACGCTCAATGCAGCGTCCCGAACCGTGCGCAAACGACAGTGCACCACGGAGCAGGAGTCAAATTTTATTTATCACATGAGGAGAGTGAGTCGAGCTGACTGACAAGAGTGAGGTGAGAAAGACAAGACGATGG